TAGCTCTGGGATAAAAACTATTGAGAAAACGTGTGGTCCGAGTCTTAATTGTTCTATATCTTCTGCCAGATGGTAACAGTTCAAAAAAGCTGTAAGCAGGATGGGAAGAGTCTCTCAGGATGCTATGTGATTTACTTAGACAGCGGGATGTGAAGATGTCATCCAGGGTTGGTAGCTGGAGCCCGATGATATTCTGGGCAATTTTAATGGTTCTCTGTAGAGCTTTTTTGTCCGCTACAGAGATACTCCCAAACCATGCCAGAATGCATGGATCATTATGTGTCATAATGAATCATTATGTGTGATAGATATTTCTGTTTCTGAGATAGCAGAGTTAGCTTAGGAGGATTCACATATGCTGGAACAAAGGCCACATTTATTACCTCTAGTTTGAAGACAGATAATATTGGAACTGATTAAGGTAATCCAATTCCAGTCTTGATCCAGGACAGAAACACAACATTTAGATTTAGAAGGACAAATAAACAGAAGGCATAAATTTTGCAAAGCTTTGCTGGGTTTGCCTCCATCTACTCCAGCACCTAGTATGAGAGCTGAGATTGGGATTACTCCAATACAATTTCATACCTAAATTGGTCGGTTCATGTGTAACTTTAAACTTCTTAAGATGGAGGATTCCAGGCTAACAAAGAAAAATTCTTAGAAAAATTAAATCTGACAGCCAAAACAACTGAATGGCTAACTGTGAACAGCAAATGCCAGCCTTTAATTTAATTTTACAATACTGTACCTACAAACTTTGAAATAGGCCCACTCATTTAGAAAGGGAAAGTTGAGGGACTTTTATACTTAGCAAGATTTCAATGCGATGAAGATTTCATGTGGAGCCCAAGTAGTATGAGGATATATAACATTACTTCATTGCTCTCTTATTTAATTTTGGTTACTTTTTTCTACTATATTCTCTAACAAATTTTCATATAAACATTCCTCTAGGTCAGAATATAATGTTTATATGAAAATTTGTTAGAGAATATACTAGAAAAAAATAACCAAAATAAAATCATTGATCTGTTGTCTGATGTTAATAAAGCAATAACAGATAGAGCAGTAACATTTGAAGTAGCTGTCCAAAGGTTGAGGGAAAATCATTTAAAGATCAATACAGTTCATTGAAAGGCCTTTTTTATTATTGTTGTTGTTGTTGTTGTTGTTGTTGTTGTTGTTGTTGTTGTTGTTGTTGTTGTTGTTGTTGTTATCATTATCATTATCATTATTATTATTATTATAAATTGTGTGTGCATTTTCATTTGTTTTTCATTTGTTTTTAACCGAGTATTTTATGAGTGTATATATTTGTATTTGTGTTTTTGAATTTGCTGGCATTATGTTGTCAAGCTAACACTCCACATGTGTAAATACTTCTATTTGCAAATGTGTTGTAATTGTAATAGTGATTCAATGACCGAAGTGGTTGAATCAACATTATCTTACCTTATATTATTGTGTTGGCCTTTTGGTTGCAAGGGGGGAAAAGTCTGAATTAAGCCCACTTGCACTTAAAAGGCAGAGAAAGAGATTTTCTGATGTCTATAAAATAAAATAATTCACTGGATTTTGTGCTATAGCTATACCATTGTGCTTAAGGTTCTCTGAGTGTTAATTTCACCGCAGGTGACTTCAAAATATAGCCTTTCAGCACATTCATCACTGGCAGAACCAGAGCAATTTCTTTAAATATTAATGGTGGGGGTTTTTTTTGGAACTCTACCCTCCATTATGGATAGGACTCTACTCAGGAAATTCATTTTGGTTGTTGTTGTTGCTAATACTGGTAAAGCAATTAAAATGCATTTACAATATTAAAAGGGAAAATATTAAACAGATGCAATTTAAACATTGGCATTAAGAAGATCCACAGAGGTTAAACTTATTAAAAACCATAAAAATAGTCTGTATCACTGGATACAAAGCTAGAACCAATTCTGAAATGTAAAATGAAATAATTAGTATAATTTGGGAACGTACTTCTGAAAGAAGCAGTCAGTAGCAGAGGTGTTCGGTTGCAGAACTCAGAAGTTAACAAGCTGCATTATACCTATCATATGGAAACTATTTTTAGAAGAATAACATCTATGCTATAAATTCTCAGCCACCCATCTCATGAAATAGGTGCCAACAGGGTTTGAAGCAACATTAGGAAAAGTGGAATACCATGTCAGATTTAAAATGTTCTGATGGAATATTTGTTTTTGCAAAAACTAACCTTGTTAATATTCCTTGGTCTGAGGATAACCTTAATATGTCCAAGCATTCAGAATTATTACCTGCATTGCAATAATTTACTTTTATAGTGGTTGGAAATATTGTAGTGGATTCTATTCAGTGGTACACTAACAAAAAAGCACTACTGCTTGTGGAAGATGGGGTATCTGACTTATACAAGTCTTTATCCACTGTAGCCCCTTAAACTTTTGAAGTATTGCTGCTGAGGACTGGAGTACTTCTACAAACGGTATGGGAAATGGCATGGAGTGCTGTACTGGATATGGAAGTAGTAGGATTATGTGACCCGATGTGGTTACTTCATACTGTAAATATATGGAATTATTGTAAGATTTGTCTTACCCCTTTTGGAAAATGCACAAAACAGTAGAATCATGTTTTCTCCTAAATATGTTTGTGAGATAGGTATTTCAGGAGTGAGACCCTTCTTGATACATGGTTTGCTAAAACTGTTGCTCCAGCTAAGAACTCTTTGGGACATCAAATAAGGCAATATATATGTCTTATTTTGGTGCTCCTCAGTATGCAGCATACACAAGTGCCTGGATGCTGTATAATTTGTTTCCTTGCATCATCTATGGCTTCTTTACCAGATTTTGCCATCACTTCAGTTCTTTTATTTTCAGCAGGAAAATATCAGTTTGCTACAAATTTCTTCCTTTTCCTTCTGCAGCACCATGGCGTTCCTTACTGAAGTGAATAAATAATGAGTGGCCCCTCTAAAATGATGCTTTAGTCGGCATTTTTCTTGGCAAAAACTACATTCTTTCCTGTTGACATATGTATTTCAAAATATCCACACATTTTAAGTTGGAAAGCCTTAAAAAATAGATTTTATGAACAATATAATTATACAAAAGCACCATTGTCATGCAAAATACTTCTCAAAGAATACTGAATTAATCCCATCAGTAGCCTATTGAATATTCCATTAATGTCCTTAAGATTCATGTCATTTTTTCATTTTCAATGGATATTAGTTTATTATTTAATCTACAATGTGTGTGTGTGTGTGTGTGTGTGTGTGTGTGCGCGCGTGCGTGTGTGCGTGTGTGTGTGTGGTGTTGTGTTAAAAGAGAGGAGGGAAGGGGGAGAAAAAGAGAGAAATAATATTGTCAGTGTTGCCTCTAGTAGAGTTACCATCATTTCATGGCCTTTCACGGTGGCAAATAAAGGCAATGGGAACACAGTAAAATAAAACACTTTGTGACACTGCTTTGACCTCGCTGATCCTCTTTATTGACACATACTGAATAAAGTGCAGATTTAAGAACTGAAACATTCTAAGGTTACTGCACAGCAATGCCATCTAACAGCCAGGTCAGATGATGTTAAGGAAAACCTCCTGGGTCCTGTGTTCACTTCAGCCCTTATCATTGTATTGTTCAGTAAATCTTCTCTTTGTGTGATTTTTTTTTTATATGCAGCCCTTAGGGATTTTTTACATGATATTAAATTGTGCTTTTTTAATTATAAACACCAGGTATTATATAGTACAAGCATAACAAAACCAAGTCTTCGGGTGTTATAAAAATCCTTGATTTAAAGTTCAAAAGTTGTGGTTGATATTTCTTCCTTGCTACGGTTCAGGTGCATCATCTTGGAAGTGTATCTAGAGATTTGGAATAGCTGTAGCTTGTAGGCATCCTATATGATGTGGAATCCAAACTCCTTCAAGCTTAGTTTAGTAGTTAACCCACTGATTTCAGATGAATTATTTATGCGGTGCTGTTGTGAACAAAGTGTTCACTTTGGACTACAGAGAATTGAATACAAATCCCTGCTCCACCAAAAAAAGCTCCGTGGATGCCTTCAGGCTGGTGATTGGTTCTTTGCTTCACAGAATTGTTGGGAGAATAAATTAGATAAGCTGCCATGTATAAGTGAGTTCTTTCAAAGAACGAGCAGTTGCACAAATGGAAGATAAATATATATGAACAGAACAATGCACTTGAACTGTGACACAGCCTGGTTCTAATCAGAGCTTGGGTTTTTCTTTTTCATGTTTTTTGGATTCCAACTCCGTGGCTCCCCCAGATAATATCAACCATGCTACTTAAGCATTTCTGGGAGTTATAATCCCCAAAAAAGGTGGAGAATGTTTGAACTCACCGATTGTCACATGAACATAGAGGCTTCAGAAAGCTTAAGTTAGCTTTTTGCTTTGTGCACTCTTTGCAGAAAATGAAGATAGCCTGAAAGGGATGCAGAACAGGTTGCAAGATGCAGAGGGAAAGAACTCTGATCTCCTGAGAGCTTTGAATGATACCCTGGGGAAATTGTCAGCAATTCCTAATGGTGAGTAAAGCCAAGCCAAACAATCTTCAACCAGAACTTCAGGTGCAGATTGCTCCTTAGTGGCAGAACCAACACTGAGGGATGCTGAGAACTGAAATCTGGAGGATTACACTTCCCCCTCCCCCATCAATGACTGGAACTCATATATTACAATCAATTAAGTTATGGAATAAGTTGGAAATTTGCAAATGGAGTGGTGGGAGGTGAAGTATAAAAGTAAATAAATAGATAGTGCTAAACTAACCTTCTACTTAAATTTCAATTAATGTAGAGATACATATTTAATACGCTGAGTTTGATTTGGGAATTAGTGTGCAAAGAATAAGGGGTTGAACACACCTGCCAAAAGAGCCCCAGTGATACAGATTTGGCCATTATTTAGATTTTTTCATAATTTTCCATTTGCAAGGGGTGGAACACGGTCATGCATCGGCACACTCACGAGGGGGGTGCTCGCACACATGCACACGGCACACTCACAGGAGGCGGAATGCGGTCATGCACATGCGCATGGTGTGCTCAGGTGGGAGGGTTCTTGCAGGGGGGACAGGCGATCTGTGTCCACGGCCCAGTCCTGCCTAGGCTGTGGACCACTGCCGGGTCATGGACCGGGGGTTGGGGACCCTTGTTCTAAGTAACTTTCTTTGTATGTCACACTGTGGTGGGCTCATTGCTCATCCACAAGGCATCATAGCAAAAGTCAGGGATCACTTCATAGTGAATATAGATCTGTACTCTTTCCCAACAGCACTTTGCTACTCTTGTCCACCTCAAACATCAAAAGGGAGAGTCCCAATGTTACATTCAAATGAGAAGTGCCATACTGCTGGCTTGAGTTAAATATATTTCTGGTTGTTATCATGGTGGTGGTGGTTAATCTTTCACTTTTGAACTCTATGCGTGCATGCACATATATGTCTGCATAATTTTATTACTCCATCCTGAAACGTCTCTTGACTGTATTAGCCCTTCAAGGATGCTGCCGTGCTAGATGCCATAGAAGGATGAATGCTTAGCCTTGATTTTTTTCCTTCTTTGGCCTGGCAGGAGCTGTCACTTTCATAGTACCCTTAATAGGCCAGTTAGAAGTTAATTTTTTCAAGGGAATGAAAGACAATATCCTATCACCCAATCTATCATTGCTTTAACTCATTTCTGCAAATTACCTCTACTTGTGTTACTATAGCAGTCTGGTACTAAAACAATAGCAGATACTAAGAGGAAGAAAAAAATGTCAGACAAAATTGATCACTTCCATGGAAATATCAAAAATCTGTACATGGAAAGGAGTGAAATTGATAGAAGTACTTTTCATCCAAAGGATATAAAGGCAAGCCAGGATCTGCTGCTAGTATTCTGCTCATGTGGAGTAAACTGGCATGACATCAGAGGCATCGTGCCATGTTTCATAAGTAAAAAGAACGATTCTCTGTGGCATTAGATTGAAGAGACAGACTTGAGTTATATATGACTCACTATGCCAGGTTTTGCTGGCTCACAGACATTTCTGATTTAAGAAAGGTTGGATCTAATTAAATGAGTTCACAAGCATCTGTGGCCTTTCCTTTGCCAGTGCAGGTGTCACATGGTGGTTTGGGATGTTTGCCAGGATGGGAACAACAAGAAGCCATGGTACAACCTGGCTCACATGAAAATTGTATACCCACATTTTTAGAGTATGAATATTTGAGTTCCAGACATAATTATTCATCAATCAGTTTCTTGCACGTATATGTTAGTAATCTTCAGACTTTACAAAATCGATAATGTCAAAAATGACAAATTTTCATACTTGAAATATTTAACTGGGTTCATCTTAAGCAATATGTGACGGCCCCACTTGCTGATAAGATCACAGTGCAAAGTTGTGAGAGTGCACAGATCAGTTTTGACTCTATTTAGGATTAACAGGTTTCATGACAGGACCTGGCTAATATGTGGTTTACTCTCAGAATAAGTTATAATAAATAGCCAAAATCCTATTGGCAATGTGCAGTTGCAGAAGGGACTTCCCATTGATTAACAAAGTGTTGGTTGCATTCTTGGCTGCATCCCTGATCATGTGACTGGGCAAGAATGCAACCAGCACCTTGTTATTGAGTGGCAATCTGCCACAAATATGCTCTTTCCCTTAGGCAAGTATAAATCATTAATAGAATTCTGACCATTTTTTTTATAACTTTCACTTTTTAACAACACCAAAATGTACTTTTTAAATATAAATAAGCACAAGAGTGTCTAACCAAGGTGAATCTCTGTGCATGACATCTCTCTCTCCCTCCCTCTCTAATTCTGATTTCCTCCTTTCACCCCCTTCCTACTTACAGATACAGCTGCCAAGGTACAAGCCGTCAAAGACAAAGCCAAGCAAGCTAATGATACTGCAAATGATGTACTGGCTAGAATCAGAGATCTCAACAAGAATCTCTTAGGGTTAAAAGACAACTACAGGAAACTTGCCGAGGATGCAGCCAAAACAAACGCTGTGGTGAAAGATCCCAATAAAAACAGTAAGAGTTTGTTCTGCAAATCTGCTTTTTTTCCTTCTGAATTCCCAACATTCTCTCAGTTGATAAATTCATATCTTCCTACATTTTAAAACATTTAATGCAGGTGCTACAGTATGCTTTACTGAGGCTATGAAGGACAGAATGCAGACACGTGTATACATTGCTGTTCTGTGTGCTTTAAATGAGAACTCCTTATTAATTTTCTTACTGAGTTGTTCGGCATCTCTCAGATATTGCATGGTTAGCAGTACGTTTTTCGAAAAGCCATCCTCTAGATTCTTAAAACGTTTCAATTAATATGAAAATTTTTAGCTCAAAATGTTAATAAAGTCCTTGAAAGATCATTCCCAGGACAGTGGAAATAATGGCCAGCTTTTGTAGTATGAACATATCATCTTGGTCTATGAGCTAACCTTTAAAGGGGGAAGCATGGGAGAAGAGTTTAATAAAGCTGTCTTTCGGTTGTAGAAGATGTATTATAGCCTCTTGGGTAATACAACTATGTTAAAAGCATATTTTATGCTGATCCCTTAGTTATATTCACAGGGTGGCACTATGTTTCACTGAAGAAAAACTGAGCATGAATTACTGCAGCTTATCCACATGACCTTTGCCATTGCCGTGACATAAGAAAGGAATATCCATTTCCATTGGATGTCACTGATACACAGCAGGAAAGCTTATAAGTGTTAGACCTTCAGAGGAATTACATAAATAAGCTCTGTACAGACCAGAGAAGAATGGAACGGAATCGTAGTAACAGAGGTTGTGTCACCATATTAACTACAAATCTGTACTTTATTTTGAGAAAGGAAAACAATGAATGTCATTTGGGACTTCTAGTTTTTCAGCTGTATGCAATTTAGAGTTCATAGTGGGAAAAAAAACTGAAAACATAGTAAGGTTACTGTTCTACTCCATTACCAGGGTACCACCCAGCAAAGGCAAAAAGAAGACAGAGCAGGACCTACTGTTAGATCTGAGCGATTTTCATATATCGGCAAGGGTCTGTTACAACTGCAGTCCCTCATTAATGTTGTCCCCCTAAATAGGTTTGCTAAAATAGTGCTTGTGTGGAGATAACCAAGAGACATTTGGGTCAAAGGCCCATTGAACCCGGTTCTGTAGTGGTCATAAGAACTTTGGTAGTGCATATATTTGGACATATTCTGTCCCTTGATTTTAGGGTATGATAAGCAGATGAAGCTCATATTTTACCGCTCTCTCACATGCATAAAATCAAGCTAAATTTCAGTATTCCGAAGCTTCTGCTGACATAGGTAGACATCTTATCTTGAAGGAATTCTGCCTCTGTTGATACACTAAATGTATAATCTAGTTGGATCCTCAGTCTTCCTATAAAAAAGTAAGTCTGAAGTCTGACCATCCCTCCTGTAGGACATATTAACATATAGAAAGCTGTTCTCCAGTCCTGAAGTAAATTAACTATAATAAAGAGATGGAGAATGTCACTCAGGTTGATTCCTTTTCTATTCCTCTTCCCCAGTCACACATTCATTTTTTATTTTCTTCTCTGCAATACATAGCTGCTATAAGCATTATATTTACATGAGTTGCTTGCCAACCATAGTTCCAAACCAGAGTTTGAAACCATAGGAACTCTTGTTCAAGTTAACGATACACAGCAGTAAACCCAGCACAAAAAGATAAAACTAACATTACAAGACTAAAATGAATGGCGGGAGAGCTGAGAGGAAGATGAACAAAGGAGCATAATGCCTATCCTGCATAATTAAATTGTACACCACTCAGAGAGTGCTCTGAGCACTATGGGGCAGTATATAAGCAACACACTTCTAACTTGAAGCAGAAAGATCACCTCTGTTGTGAGTTATATGTGCAATGGGCCAGATTAATTATGTGCCAAAAAGTCAATTCTGACTTATGGGGGCCCTCACTGGGCTTATAAAGTACTCTGAAGTGGTTTATCAGTCCTTATTTCTCATGCTGCTCTGAGATAGTGAGGATTGCTCAAGGCACGGAGGTGGCAAGATGTGTATCTCTGTCAGTCACACCTGCTCCAGATGATCTTGGCTGGCCCCTGTCCTGGAAGCATGGTAGGGATTCAGACTTCCTAGCCAAGTACTCCTACACACTGAGCTATAGGGCATTAGAGCAATAAATAAAAGCTATAATGGATTCCCCGTTCTTATTTCCAGTAGCCCAAGCTTACGTACATTTACTCTTTTGATTAGACAGGCTCTTAGAGTGCTGTCCCATGTGTACTCAGAAGTAAATTCCACTGAGTTCATCCAGGAACCCAGATACAGACTTTTGACTTACGTTGTCTTGTTCTGTGGCAGTATATCTTGGTGATCAAATATGCATGCCAGGGGAAAAGATTCACATGTCGAATCAGTGCCAGGCAATGAAGTTCTCCAGTTTTATGTTTAGTAATCCATTGTGTGTGTCAGTGTTTGTCTTTCAAATTCCCTGTCTTACACGTTTCTTCTTTTTCTTTCTTTTTGTCTTTGTCTCCCAAACTTGCCTCCAGGAATCAGTACGTATGAGGTTTTAATTTTACAATAGTTTGGCTTTCTTCCCTTTTCTGTATGTTTATATGCTTCATTCATTTTCTCATGTATACTTGCATGTTACCTATGCAAGTTGCTGCATTAAAATAGCTTATTATTTTACTCTCGCTAGTATTCCAGCAAAGATGCTAACACTGCCATGCAGCCCAGCAGCCTGTGCCATTTGGAAGGCATAAACATCACCTCAGTTCACACTATTCAGGCATTAAAGCCCCGGGTGAAACACTGAATTAAAAAATGGCAGAAAAACAAAAATTGTTGTTTTATTGAAAGGTCAGGTGGAAGAAAGATTCTTGAAAGCTATGGCTCTTCTTTTGGAAGCTCTGTGTGTTCCAGCAAGTCAGATATACATCTGTATTCTCAATTGTGATAAAGACTTGCTGCTTCTGTTTTTTTTATTATTATTATTTTAATACATTCTGATTGCATCCCGAAGACGATTGGACACTAACACAATAGTACAACTGTTCTAAATCTTACATAAGAAGAAGCCAACAAAAAACTTGTTTTACCCTGCATTAGTTCCCATTTTGTGGAACTGAGGCAGATCTCTGCTGACAGAGAAATCTTGGCAAAGCCACAGACCTAAGGGAGATTTCAAAATTGCAGTCACAATTGGTAATAGCTAGTGATCTGTTATTGCTAACACTTTCACTCTGGCTAATCATCTAAAATGTCAGCAAGAGAAAAATTATGAATGGGATAAATATATTCTATTCCGTTCCCCATATGTCATGTACCACCAGGACTCAGAAAGTTCCAATTAAATTGATTGGAAATAGATTCAAGAGAAACAGAAGGTGTTGTATGATATAGTGCACGATTAGTTATGATCCTAGATATTAATGAGAATTATTTGCTGGGCTTTTTAAAGTGACTGGACATATTCATTTAGGATGTGTCATGACAGGTGGATTCAACTTCGCTTTGTACCTCTGTAGATGCTAGATGTGAAAAAACAAAAAATGGCTATTGTTAGTATGCCTTCTTTGCATGCTTCCCAAAACACTGAATTTTATCCAGCAAGCCAGTAATCCTAAACCCTGCAGTGCAAACATAAATGGGGCTCCATAGGCAGGGCATCCCAGTAGCCACATCTCTAAAATCACATGGCTTCCTGCTGTTGATCTCCACAGATTAAGGAGGGACATCTGAGAAGGGAAGCCTGTGCACACAGAGTTGTGTGTGTTAATTGGGGTTTGTGTATTCAGAACCCTGTGCTGTTCATAGAGCTTAGATAGTAACTTTTGAAAAGAAATAGTTATAGTTACAAGGTCTCTAAAGTAACTAAAATGCCATTTTTAAAATGATCAGCATGGAATGAGCCACAGGTTGATTATTGAAAATACTGTCTCCTCCCATCTACCTAATAATCAACTTAACAGAGCACAAGGCAGAGTGCTAGCCAACACTAGAACCATGTGCTATTACTCCTTCACCTCTAAAAGAATTCACACAACACTGTAATTACAGAAGTAACTGATAAGTTATTAATTAATTGCAAAAAGTATTAAATTACCCTTGACCTGTTACTATCAGAATGTCACTTAGTTATCCCTTCATTTTCCCCCAAAAAACTTTAATAATCAAATGGACAAAATCCTATTGGCACAGATTAAAGCACCTGAAACAATTAATTGAAAGTAATTGGAAACTTCTTATCTACCTGTTTCAGCTTCTGAGGCTCCCTTCTGCCCTGAGGAAGCCTTCTGATGCCTTGGAAGAGGGATGGGAAGCTTTTAATAGTAAAACAGTTGCTGCCTGGTCACGACTGCTGGAATCAGGACTGCTGGCAGCAATTTGATGGTGATCTTTGACTATTAAAAGAGTCCCCCTTGCCAAGATTCCCAAAGGCTTCTTCAGGGCAAAAGGAATCTCTAAGGAGTCTTGAGAGTTGAAGCGGAGAATAGGAAGATTTAAATTAATGTCCAGCACCCCAGTTTGGTTTACGCTGGTGGAACAGCAGGATTTTGTCCAGTATCTCTTAAATCAACTTTGTAACAATCTGTAACAATTGATAACTAGTTATTTCAAAGCTCTGCTTTAGGGAGATGTGAAATATAGAATGAGCTTGATGCTCCTTTTACACATGGAGCCCACCATGCACTACACTGAGGTAAGTATACATTAGTTGATGCTGTTCATGCACACCCATGCTTTAAATGGTACAACACTGAGACTGTGTGAGACAAAAAATAAATAAATAAAGACTTTTATGACATGCCAGTTCAAATTGTAAATATAAACATGCATTTTAGGAGTAAAGAAAACATCTGAGAAATGTCTATGATGGGCCCTCATGATTATTCTTCATTTCTGGAGTGGTTTTTAAACTCATTCCCTTTTTCTAATTTGGGATCACTGAACTAATCAATGCTAATCACTTTACTAATAATGACCTACTGCTACTTTTATCCGGTATTCAGTAAGGCAAGAGTAAAAGATAGATGCTTGCAAACTGCATTTTCCGTACTCTGACCTCTGACTGCTGGCCTAGGCATATTACAGGATCACAGTTAACTCCCAGACAACATTATAATCACAGACCCGGGGTGCCCTTTTTATTCTTGCTCCCTTGCTTCTGTTTTGCCTTTTGCCTTTGAGCAAAGCTCAAAAATGCTGTTTAAGACATTTTGCTTTCTGTAAAAATAAACTGATAAGAGAATGCCATTTTGGATATAGCTATTTGGTCTTAATAAACTATGGTGTATTAATTTGGGAAGGATTATATAGCCCATGTATATTCCCCACCTCTCCCAAGCCCCTCCCAGGGTGTTTTTGGCATATATTTATTTTAAGTCACAACTCTCTGGTACGCCTGACTCAAAACTACAGTGTAAAACCCAAAGTCCAAGATGAAACCTCTCTCCTGTTGGAGATTATGATGGGAAACTTGTTCAGAATAACCATCCTGCAAGTCCTGAGGGGAGAGGACGGGCAAAAAGGGAGTATTTGAGCACAATAGTCACCCTGGCTTTCAGTGCCCTCCTCACTATTTACTAATGGTATTTTCATCTATTGCTTAAGCTCATATGTTGTTGTTTTTTGTACAAAGTTGCTGATGCAGATGACACTGTTAAAAACTTGGAAAAAGAGGCAGATCGGCTGATGGATAAGCTTAAACCAATCAAACAACTTCAAGATAACCTAGGGAAGAACATCTCTCATATTAAAGACTTGATCAATCAAGCCAGGAAGCAAGCCAATTCAGTAAGTCGTTCTATTTTAACAGCTTGCATTATTTCTTTAGCTGTTTTATTCCATTCATTCGAAAGAATACATAAGAGCTGAAGAAAACTATGTTAATAACTGGGACAAGGAAAGCTGGGTAATGTTGGATAACAGCTTTGAATACCACCATGGGAAATGTTTCCCTTCTGTGCAAGAAGGAACCGGAACCAATGTTTGCATAATCAGTGTTTCCATTATAGCACTACTGTCGTGGTAGTCCAGGGAAAGACATTTTCAATATTACAGCAAGGAAAACTGAACAATGGCTTAGATACCATTTTCTGTCACCCAGTAAAGCCAGCATGTGTTTGATGTTGTATGACCAATTAAAAATTAAGATTGTTTCTGGGGAAAGGTTAGTGTTCACAAGGTTCACCTTTAGTATATCTAAAGCAAAACTTTCGTATGTGGTGTGATTGCATTGACAGATTGTAACTTATGAGATTTCATAACACAATGACTAGAATTGATGAGACAACCTTCTCTTCTGACTCCATCCATGTTTGTATCATTTCTTGCGGTTTGTACATGATCTGTTATGAAACTGCAGCTCATTATCCTTTTTTTCCTCAATGGTATGTCATCCCATTCTTACCTTACTACTTCATATCACATAGGCCAAAAGAAAGATAGAAAGAAACACCAGAAAACTCTTTCTCACAACATGGTGAGAGATTGAGGACTTGAATATTATATTCAATTACTGTTATTTTAATTAAAATTTTACCACAGATTTCCCTTTCTCCATCCACATGTTTATTTTTTATTTGTTTGCTTATTTATTTATTATAATGGCACTTCAGTTGGTTGAGAGTGGTAAAATCACACACATACACACACAGAGAGAGAGAGAGAGAGAGAGAGAGAGAGAGAGAGATACATATATGTATAAAAAACTCCCTTTGAGGTATTCCTGATTAGTTTCATCGTTATGGTCTGTGATGAAGACTATTGCTGGGATAATAGTCACCATGTGGATCAAATATCCTTTGATATGCATCAAGTGTATCAAAGGATATTCCATCTGTATTGATGGTACACTCTTTTAAATCTTCTCTTCTTCTGTGCTTTGGACCTGGCAGCAAGTAAGGACTTGGACATTCACCATGTATTTTAATGACACACATTAAAATATAATAAATAAATCCGTAAATCTATTGTACATAATAATTTTTTGAAATCTGTATTAGTTGTTCAAAAACTGACATTATGCTCACAGTTATGGCCCAGCTATCTGAAAATGGTGTGGTTATATTATAAGCAAGCATTGCCATGGTATGAGGAAGCTGACAACACCTTTGCAGAATCACCAAGAATATTAAGTGGAATTGCTTTCTCACTTTCTTGATTTTCTTCACCTTGTGTCCTTGGGTTAAGAGCATCATTTTCTAGCCTCATTACAGAGTCCCAAATCTGTCTTCCCAGTGTAATTACATTTTAAACTCAAGGATCAGCTGGTAATGCTAAATTTATTTGCCATCTGACCCACAAGAATCTGTAAAGGAAATCCCTAGAGATGAATGTTCAGTAAGCTACTGTTTAATTCAAGTCAAAGCATCATGCTGCTTGCTGAAGGAATACAAGAAGGAATAATAGCAATGATAAAATATTCTGTTTGGTTTACAAATAACATTTTATATAAACAGAGGCAAGGCAACAAATTATTTCCTTCACCTCCGACACAGGTTTCATTCATAGGTTTCAAAGCTGTTTTCTTAATGTGAAAGATGCCTCTGACTAGATACTTTTGTCTTCCCACCCTCCACCCAGCAACTGTGGATGGAAAAGGCCCCCAGATGGAAATTCAGTAATGCAGCCTTTGTGGCAGTTACAGTTATACCACCAGACTTCATAAGACCTGTTTGTGGGTTGTTTTGTCAGATCATATTTTTACATACATATTGTTGTGTCTACCAGTGCACAGCTTGGAAACAACACACTAGAAGTCATGTCACAATCCGTAACACATTGCTTTTTGGGAGGGGCAGGTAACGAGGGCAGAATACTATACTATCAAAAATGACTGGTAACATTGTTATTTTTTGCGTGTACAGTAACATTTACCTGTTACTTTTGTCCGTAACACATTGCTTTTTGGGAGGGGCAGATAACAAGGGCAGAATGCTGTACTATCAGAAATGACTGGTAACATTGTTATTTTTTGTGTGTTACTTTTGCTCATCATTTTTGGAGGCTAAAAGATGTGGGATTTTATGTGTGTGTTTTTAAGCCAAACTAGTAGGCCAAAAGTGACGAGGGTCACGAAGAGTTGGACACGACTTAACAACTAAACAACAAAGTAGGCCATATTTGTACTTTTTAATAATGTAAAATGGAAACTAAAAAGTAACAAAAGAGCAACTCATGTAACCAGTAGTATGAGTAAACTTTTCTTTCCAGCAACAAGTTATTTGGCCAGGGTCTTCATAATGACTTTCATTATATTTACTTCTAAAAATATACTTTTACTATGTTCTGGCCCAGTGTCTTTTAAGGTTTGTAATTTTCATACAATTTAAAAGCAGGTGCTTAAGTGTCGACATTTGTAAACCCAGCATTCACTAATGTCTTATTTTTGAATCATTAAAATGTTTTAGTTTTCCACTGTGTAATAAAATTCCTATATATTCCTAAAAATCTTGTCCCACACTGGATATGTTCAATCACTCTTGCTGCTCCCTTGATAGCCAAAACTAAATCCTATAGTTTGTGTATGGAAAAAAGAAAATTAATTTATCTATACAATTAAAAACCACATCTCAAGGTTCAAACGGAATTAAAAATCCAAAGAAAAAAGCTATTGCTTTGATTTGGATTCCTGCCTTGTGCAGGGGGTTTAACTCAATGGCCTTACAAGCCCCATCCAACTCAATATTTTTATGATTCTATTATTACAATCCTATAATTACCTACAAAAATATAGAAGATATGGACATAGCAAACTTTACCAGTTCCTAATACAATATTCACTTGCATAATAACCGATCTGTATTTCTGTGTTAAGGTTTGAACTTTGAAAAAACTGAAATTGTTTACCATTTTGTTTGTTTTCATAACAGGACCCTTTAAGTTCAATAAACCAAATGGTCCAGAACTTTACAGAAACTTTTATTATAATCATATACATGTCAAAGCCTTCTTACAAAATGGCAATAATAGTACAGTAAGCAGCAAACTAACACTTAATGAGTGTTATATAATTAGTTTTAAGAGCTAAAAGGGTTCCTCTGAGATTAAACTAGCAGCAACTCATAGTAGAATTAAAATACGTGAAAGGTTTTCACAAGAACGTAATAGCAATGAATACATTCAAAATAAGGTAGCAAATGGACTAAAAGTTCCACATAGGCCATGTGCTTTGTTTCCCTCATGAATTCATTAGTCACTTACTTATGAATATATTCAACAACTGTGTTGTCATAGCTGACCCTTGTCACAATCAGGTATTCTAGTCATCTTTAAGGCAAAATAAGGATGTCCATGAAGAATGGAAGAAAAAAAATGCCACACCTTGCAGTCCAGATTCAGCATCCTGGAAAGTAAAGTGCCATTCATTCCATGTGCTTAATTTCAAGGAACCACATGCTGGAAAGGTTTTTTTTTCTTTTTTTAAATGTACCTGTTGTGTTTGTTTGGGAACACCTGCAACTTTTATCAACAGTAATGGAAGTATAACTGCAGGTATAACCTGAAATTTCTCTCCTGTTTTGTTTTCCATTGTAGATCAAAGTATCTGTGGCTTCTGGAGGCAACTGCATTCGCACATACAAACCAGAAATAAAGAAAGGAAGCTACAACACTGTCATCCTTAATGTCAAGACAACAACTGCTGACAATCTGCTTTTTTATCTTGGAAGTAACAAATTTGTAAGTCTGTATTTGTTTTACAATCAAATATGTATCCTGATATTATCCTGATACCTGTGGAAAATAAAAGCTAAAAATCTAGTCATGAGCCATGATGAGCTAGGTAGAGCAGGAAGGGTGCCAGGCCCATACAAGGCCACATGCCATTGCTGCATTGCTACACTGCTATATCCATGCTCTCTTCAGTGGTCCATGTAGTTACAGCTCCTGCTACTGCTGCTGCTCCTCAAACCACAGCAAAGTACTCCTGTTACTGGTGCTTTTGCAGCCAGTGGTGGGGTTTTCCCCCTGGTGGGCTCTAGACAGCAGAGTGCTGACTCCTCTCTTTGCAAAAGGAATCCTTCTTAGAGTGAGCCATCGTGACTGAGCAGGACAAAACACCTGCCCTATCAATACTTAGCAATATTTCAAATTTAAACTACTGAAACTTAAAAGAACTTTTCTCTAGAATGAAGACATTCCGGGGCTACCTGAAGGGATGATCTAATCTAGTGGCAGAAAAATGTTTGAAGGATAAGTGTAGAGACAGAAGGCTGGGTGAACTAAGAATCACTTGCAAAATCTTGGTCATCATAAAAGAAAACAAAAATTTGAAAGACTTGGGTTCAATAATGATTAGGAATTTTACAAAGTACACTGCCGGCAGATACATTACATATTTGCTGGGAGTCTGGTACAGGTGTAAAAGCGGAATTAAAGAATTAAAGTGGCCTTCTCTTGTTTCTATTAGCCATGAGAATCTCATTGGGAGGGAAGCGTAAGCCATAGAAGAGGTTAACAGTTCCCTCTTGCCTGCTCATAGTAACAGTATGAGTGACTCACCCACTCCACATTATATGAAAAACATCATAATTGCCACTACAACAAGCAAGTCAAACTTCTCTGATATTTGATTTGACTTTTTTCTTTCTAATTTATTCCATGGTAATAAAAGGCACTGATCCACAGAGTCGTAGTTAAACTGCCTTTTAAGAACTTTGGTGTGTTTCTGTTAGTGGATGGGGCTCACATGTTGCTCACATCAATATTGCTTAAGACATTATTTAGCAGTCTAAAATGAATTGAGAAATCAAGCCCAGTCATCAGCATCTTCCTCCTTCTCTTCTTTGACATATTTCAACAGGATATTCAGTTTTGCTAAAGCCAATATAAATGACAAAAATAGCTGTTAGGTTCTGAGGATTTCTACCAAATACCACCATATAGCACATTAAACTTTCACCAATGTAACTGTTACATTTTCTTTATCAGCTTTATCTCTGTTGGCATTAATAGACATCACCAGGGTTATAGTGATAGATTTTTAAGGTCATGGGGTCATGATGATAGGCCTCATAGCCACATACCTCAGAAACACTTAAAAATGCAAATAGCTGAACATCAGCAGATAAGTCCCACCTTGAACAGATCTTTCATAAAACCAAGGCAACTTAGCAACAAAGCACACACTTATCCATCCATCCATCCATCCATCCATCCATCCATCCATCCATCCATCCATCCATCCATCCTGCCTTTCTCCTTAAAAAGAACCCAAGGTGGCTTACAACATTAAAAAGACAATATTTAAATCTAGAAACAGTAGGTATATGAATATCAAAAATAATTAAACAAGTATTACATTAAACACAGTAATAAAGCATTCAAGGAAATACAAATGTATTTATTTAAAATATTTCTATCCTGCCCTTATCCCCAAAAGGGACTCAAGGCAGCTCACATCATTAAAAATACCATATTCAAAAGCTAACACCCCCCAGTAAATATGCAAATATTTTAAAAATAATTAAACAAGTATTACATTAAAAACAGTAATAAAGCATTCAAGGAAATACATCTTTCATGCTCTGATAACATCTTCCCAGTCACTTTATTGTCTCTGGTACAAGACTTGAAAAGAACATTCTTTTTTACACTTCAAAAGGGGTGGATGGATGGATGGATGGATGGATGGATGGTTGGATGGATGGATGGATGGATGGATGGATGGATGGATGGATGGATGGATGGATGGATGGATGGATGGATGGATGGATGGATGGATGGATGGATGGATGGATAATACTGATACATCTTCTTTGACATGTTTCTATAATCAAAGATTTTCCCCACTTACATGGCCACTAAATAGGAGAACTTCATATTATTTACTGAGGCCCCGACTTGCCCATTCAAAATCAAAGCACCTGAAAATACTTTGCAGTGTACCTGGGGTAGGATACAGTTACAGCTTAACAAGGGTTAGTAGCCACTCCTGAAGCTATTGTGAAAGTTGTTGCTACTAAGTTCAGAGGGAGCAGGAATATTTGAGGTGGGTGGGCAATGATTTAATAATCCTTGCTATTCAAGATGTCCTAGCATGTCAAGCCTGTGATCCCTGCTTCTTTACAAGCAGTGGACATCATCCACTTGTCCAAGGGTGGAAGCAGGGCTAAAAAAAGGACTCAATAACAGAGTGTAAAAATTCTAAAAAGCAGATCAAACATAACAGTCTGAAATGTGATTGACTTCATGTGGCACTTATGAAAGTTCAAGATGAAGGTAATTTTATTATTATTATTATTATTATTATTATTATTATTATTATTATTATTATTATTAGTAGTAGTAGTAGTAGTAGTAGTAGTAGTAGTAGTAGTAGTAGTAGTAGTAGTAGTAGTAGTAGTAGTAGTAGTAGTAGTAGTAGTAGTAGTAGTAGTAGTAGTAGTAGTAGTAGTAGTAGTAGTAGTAGTAGTAGTAGTAGTAGTAGTAGTAGTAGTAGTAGTAGTAGTAGTAGTAGTAGTAGTAGTAGTAGTAGTAGTAGTAGTAGTAGTAGTAGTAGTAGTAGTAGTAGTAGTAGTAGTAGTAGTAGTAGTAGTGGTGGTGGTGGTGGTGGTGGTGGTGGTGGTGGTAGTTTTATTTATATACCGCATTTCTCCCAACAAGGGACCCATAGTGGCTCTCAACATTAAAATTCACACAATTTAAAAACACAATAAGTTAAATATTAAAAGATAAATTGAACAATATTTGATTTAAAATACAATTTAGGATGTCATTGCTTTATATGGCAGTGTCAATACGAAGGCCCCTTTTCCAATAGCTGCCCATTTAACTTAGAACGTATAGAAACCCAGATGACATACAATATAGCTGTTAACTGCCAAACAGATTCATGTGCAGAAAAGTGGTCTTTCATATTATGGTACTCAAATATGTGTGTCTCCCCCATGTCAGTTTCCTAACTCTGTGCAAATTTATTCAAGTGCAGGACTTGAGTAAATCTCACTAAAGGAAGGAAGTAGTTACATGAAAGCACATAAAGAATGTCTGGCGCCCATAGAGAGCTAGTGTACTACAACACAATACACATAGATAGAGGGAACAGAAGTCTATTAAATGCAATTTAATATAATAATGTATTGATAATTGTGGCTGTTACTTTTATTCTACTCAAGAATATCTAGAACAAGCCAATAAAGAGATGGATTGCATGCTTCTGCTAAAGTAATAATTGGCTGACACTAATTATTAATAT